GTTTGACACGTAACTATCATTATATTCTTGTCATTTCACACATGAAGTCATTGACAACGGTCAAGTGTTATTCTCGATTACTTAGTTGATGTGACAATATTTTTTGAAGTTAATTTTCTCTTTTAAAAAACACCTATTATAACAAAAAATTTTCTTTCTTTTTACATAATGGAAAGCCCATAGTTTTGATAAAACAAAACTACAAAAATGTCAATGTTTCATTTAGAACTTGCACATCTAAAACAATTATTTGAGTCATATAATTGTAATTTAAAATGATTACAACAAATAAGATTCGATTGAACTCCTTTTAAACATACACAAAAACAATTGTAATTTAAAATGATTGACAACAAATCTGTCATAATTTCCTTATTGAAGGTATACATATAATGGACACAAACATATAAGCACACATTAAAGTTGTATTTGTTATTTAAAAATGAACAACCAAACAAACAATATTGATCTGCTGTCCTTTTTGTCGTAATGCTGGATGAAGCTAAAAAGAAAATGGGTTATAAATTAAATTTGATAGATTATAATTTATTGGGATGAAATAAAAGTATATGACAAAAAAGAAATCAAAGTATTACTGACCTGAATATGTAGCAATTCTATTGTATAATGATGACAAGTACTAATAAATAAATAAAATAAAGCCCACCATGCGAAATTTAAACAAGAAAACAAAAAAGATCAGAGAAGAAGAAAAACAAACAAACTAGCCAAGTGCTCAAGTTGATATAGATGCCATGTTTGTCAATTTATGTTGGAGTTCCAAATCGATGGGTTCATTTATTTATCATCGTATCAGAGTCAAGCTCATTCATTTTTCCGATGTTGGCCCCCCGCCACCCCCCAACCCTTCGTCTTATATTGTTCATGCTCCAAATGTCCAGTTCTAAGCGTGTAATGGTCCATGGTCTCAAAGTCGAGGATCTTGGACATTCTCCTCTCATGAGCTAGATTTTGAGGTTGAGTTAGGTTGTAGGTCCATTTCTTTATCAATTTTCATCTCAATATAATTCATCTCTTTTTAGCTAGGTCTTCTCTATTCATAAATTAACTCCATATCCCTTACAGGGGCAGAGGTAGCTAGGCTCTAAAATTTGGCAAAATTCATAAATAAATCTTTTTATAACGGTGTTATTTGTTTGAATATTTTTTAGCTATCATAACGAAATGTTATTATATAGAGAACATATGATATAACGTAACATGAAAAACTGGTTCAATAAGAAAAGGAGGAGAAATTAATTGTTGCAGTGAAATGATATATATTATAATTTATACTCTAGAAGATAGATATTATAGAGATGTATGATTGCATATCTAAAAATATTACTTATATATACATATTTTTAAAAAATCAAATACCAAACTTGTTATTTTTATATATTTTTTTAACCCCCTTAATTATTGATCACTCCCCACTGTTGTTGGAAATTATTGTAGAGACAAATTACAGGGAGATGATGGAATATAATAATGTGGCAGTGTCAATCCCTTCAACAACAATTTGTGGTAGAAAGCATGTGCCTTTCCTACATAAAAAATAATTCTCAAAATCATATTCAATAATTTTTCAATTTTTTCATAGTTTCAATTCATTGCTCTACAAGAGTTTTTGACATATATATAGAATAATTTAACAAAAGTACTGTCCTAGGAACAATTGTGGGTTCTGAACGAAAATATTTTATTTATAAATTCAAAAGGTTTTTGAATCTTACTTTAAGTTCTATCTATTTTATATATTTTTGTATATTCTATATTTTCTGTATATTGAAAATAATTAGTAACATCCCTATATATAAAGGTAAAAACCAAATTAAAGTAGGACTAGGAACTACTCTAACTAACAAATTCTAATCAAACATAAATAAGTAAATACCAAAAATAACAAATTCTAAATAACTTAGAATTCCTACTCAACTTTGAATTATTATTTTCAACGGTTTCAATTCTGATAGATGTGAGCTGAAATGTGATTGATGCAAAAATTTTAGAGGGAAAAAGTTCCAAATCTGATCATGAACTATTTAGAATTACTCAATTTTATCGTCTTATATTTATCCTTATTATTAGCGATGCCTCTAAAATGAGTGAAATTTAGAGTGTATTTGGGGCGAAGGAAAACACATAGGTGATTAAGTAAGAAAAAAAACTCTTTAATCAATTTATTTCACCTGTTTCATTTTGTTTGTCATACTTTCCTTTCTAGCCTGTTTAAATAAAAATGTCTCTCTTTTTTTTTAACAATTCTTTAATTTAAATTTTCCACGTGAGCACATGACAAGTTTAAAACCACAAAACTAAAAAACATTTTGACATATCTTAAATTTAAAATTATAATATTAAAAAAATTCTTTAATTTGACAAATATATTGAAACAAAGAATATACCATTTTAACAATTAGGGAAAGGAATTTGCTATGGTCTAAGTTGTCATAATCAATCTCCAATAATGATGAATATAGTATTATGTGACTACTAAAGCCCAAGACTGCCTAAGGCTGGCGTATTTTTCACGTCTATTCTAGAATTGTCGCATTTTAGTTTATAAAAATACAACTCGTTTAAACTTTAACGAATTGGGGTAATTGAGCTGCTTATATTGACCAAATTTATCTAAAAAAAATTAAATTGATTTGTTCAATGTAATCATACTAAATAATGAATTTATGTCTTTTTTTTATTAGCTTGATTTGATAATTTAAAAAAGAGCAACTTTCACATATAGCAAACATAAAAATCATATTTGTATATTATAGCTATACTTTGCATAATTGTGCTCCATAGCAAACTTTATGTTTGCTATGACTATTAATATGTATATTTCGCTATACATATACAAAAGAAGCAATTGTATAATTTGTTTCGGTATACATATACAAAAGAATCAATTGTATAATCTGTGTTTGTATAAAGAGAGAAAGACAAAAGAAAACTGAGCAGGGCAAGATCTATATTTGTATAATCACAAGTGTATAGGACGAAAATGTATATTTGTATTTGTATATACAATTTTCTCCCACTTTATACAAATACAAACACAATTTATACATTTGTGTTTGTATAAAGTGAGAGAGGCGAGTGAGAGTGGCGAGCGAGATCTGGGAGAGTGGCAAGCGAGATCTGGGAGAGGGGAGAGAGGGGAACGAAAAGATATGTATATATACAATTTTCTCTCGCTTTATACAAACACAAACACATTTTTTGTACATTTGTGTTTGTATAAAGTGAGAGAGGCGAGGAGGGATTGCCCAACGAGAAACGAGAGTGGCGAGCGAGTGAAATTCACTGGGGAGAGAGGCGAATGGCAACAATTTGCTATGGATTACAATTAAATCAAACTGTGGTTATAACATTTAATTTGAATTAATAGTTTGCTATTATATACAATTTTCCCAAAATTATACTAAAAAGGAACAAAAACATGTCCAATCACTTCATCTTTTCAATTCCTTCCAATTTCCACTACTTAATTAAAGTTGAATTTATTGCTCGAAATGGCAATCCCTTTTACTATCTTTTCCCTCATTTAAATTGAGAAAACTCCTTTTTTTTTTGTTAGATTGATCACATATTGAAGATTAGGTTCTTAGACATTTAATCTTACGTTATAATATCCATTGTTTCACTTTTAGTGCTTCTTTTTGTAGAGTCTATAACTTCATGATGAACTTTTAGAATTTGGAAGTGCTACCAAATTTATTAATTATCCATAAGTGAAGTGATTTCACAAAAAAAATTCTCTCCTCTGTTTGTTTGGCCTTTTTTGTTCTTCAAGTGGTCCACTAGTTGACATTTCTCCTTTATGTTTTGGTTTTTATTTTTTATTTATTTTTTTTATCCGTGGTTTCCGGGTGTCGCTTTGCGAACCCGACTAGCTGTACCCACCGGGTCCCGCTGTTTCAAGGCGGGTGCACCACAGTTAGTTCCACGGGGCCCTGGAGACGCGACCGGTTTGTAATGCCTCCAGTGGCCCTGCTGGGGCTCGAACTGGCGACCTGAAGGACTTTGTCCTCAGTCCTTTACCAGCTGAGCTACCCTCAGGGTTTCCTTTATGTTTTGGTTATTCTTCGTTTTGGCTAAGTAATACGAAAAGTATGTACCTTTCATTTTGAGCTTCGAAAAGGGTTTAAAATGTCCGTAAAATATGTAAATTTTATCATATTTGTCCTCGTTAATAATTTGATTCAATTATGTCTTTGTCGCTATTTTTATCGGGTAAAAAATGCCCTATTAAACAAAAATGTGCTTAGGTAAAGTTGTCTTCATTTTTAATATTTAACCTTTTGAAGAAAAAACTTTGGAGCAAGGTATTTTTCGTTGTTAATTTAAATGCTTTATGTCAGAATAACTAATTTTGTTATAATTAACACAATTTAGTATCATCAAAGATTGTGATTGAATGATATCCTATCCTTACTCAGAATACTCATATTTGAGCTTTGGGTATCGAATTATTTTTGATAAGAAATGCTTGACACCCAAAATGAAACTTTGCAATCCAAATTTGAATTAGTCGAACCTTAAGAAGAATTCCTTAGATTAAGTGGAAAACTAGAAACAAAAGAAAGTATACAATTGTTTTGTTTCAACGACTCAGAATATTAGAAAGATAAAATTAGGTATGCCATTTTTATTTTTACAAATAAATTATTATTGCACCGAATGACATGATGATGAAAAGAGAGAATTATCAAAGTGTATATTTTTATATATAAAAAAAGTAGCAGTTTGATAGCATCATCAAGTCGTTGTAGTATAGTGGTAAGTATTCCCGCCTGTCACGCGGGTGACCCGGGTTCGATCCCCGGCAACGGCGACACAACTTTTTTAATTTCTCTTATGTTTCGACCAAACTTTTATTAATTTGATTTTCAAAATATGTTTAACAAACATTATAATTACGCAGACCAGTGCATAAAACACAAATATATATATACTCCTCTATTCACTTTTACCGGTCAAAGTTCATACAATTTGACTGTCGAGAATCGAAACGTGACAAATAAAAATAAATAGAGAAGGAGTATATACTCATCAAGGAGCATATATATTTATTCCCTTACATAATCAAAGTAAATTAAATTTAGACACCACAATAGGTCTTCAAAGCAGATGCACATCTTTGGCCTTCTTCAGTGTAGTAGAAATCAAGGAATTCAACATGATCAAAGGGCTTAAAGAGTAAGGAATGTTCTTCATCTACCAACTCTTCTGGTGCCTTTATCGTATATCCAGCTTTAGGTATTGAAAACAAACCAGTAGAATACCTTGCTTCATTTCCTCTCATCATTACTCTATGATACGGTGAATGCAATCGGCCATTCGCCCATGCCTAAATATAAAACAATCGCACTTCATATCCAAGGCGCCATACGCTAACGATATAAAAAATAAATATTTACCTATCAAGTCACTTAAAATATAATTATATATAATCGTTCAATTTTTATTTTTGTATTTAATAACCTGGAACATGAGATTGGTTCCCAAGCTAAGCCACAACTCGTTAAAATAAGTTGAATTGAAGGGTGTGCAGATGACATTTTTTGACGAAAAATTGTAGTTAGTATATAAGTTTAAAAAATACGTTTTATAGATAAATATTTGATTTGTGTAATTTATGTGACATATTTTTTTGTAGTATGATCTAAAAAGAATGTTCACATTTCTTTATTTAAATATAATTTCATGTTAAACTTCTTATTTTACCTTTAATAAATGACATAAAGGCACATAAATGAGAAATGTATATGACTTATTTTAGATTAAACATGAGGTTAATGTTGGAAGAGCTTACATATAGAGAGTCTCCAATCATGACGGTAAAAGTGTCTGGTGTAGGATCAACATTGATCCAATGTCCATCTTTCGTCAAAACTTCAAGACCACTCACTTCATTTTGATATAATATAGTAACAATATTCTTGTCTGTGTGAGCATTTAGTCCTAGTTTAATTTCACTGTTTTGAGGTCCTTTGTACTTCATCACTCGAAGAAGGTAATTGGTTGAATTCATATGCTCATCCATATATTTTTCGACACCTAAACTCTCTAAAATCATTTTTCTGATGGTCTGGTCTAACTCAGATAAATGCTCTGAATATGATTGAATAGTTTCACTGCCAACACACATAATAAATTACAACATTAAAAAATAAGGTATTATTAATAACATTTATACACCACTAAAGATTGAGATAACGGAGGTGGATCCAAATATTTGAGTTTAAAATTTTATAGTTATTAAAATATCTAGTGAATTTTCACATTTATATTTTTTTTAACTGTGTTAGAAATATGTTGGGTTCAGCTAAATTTGTACCTTTTAACTAGATACATCAAATGATCGAGGCAGATCATAATTTCTTATCAAAAAAATTACATTGTATGTATAAAGTCATTTTTTTAATGTATATATAGTAGATGCTGAATTCTCTTGGCGAATTTCTACCCTACCTCCACTAGTTGACTATAGTTGTATGTTTCAAGTCCTGAAAATAGAGAAACAATAGGTAGGAAGAATATTTATCCTTTAATAAGCTATCCAACACGAATCTAAATTAATCGAGCTAGTTGATTTTGAATATGAAATGTCTAAAGTAAAATAATACTAATAAAGGAGAAGAACTTTTTTACCAAAAAGTAGGATTTCCTTGAGGCCACAGAATTTGAGTGAATTTTTCAGCTTTATGAGGAATATTAGCATCATCAATGCCCATGCTTTCATAGAGGGGAACTTGAGGATATTGTCCAACATAGCCATGGAATGGTTTTTTTGAAATGTTTTTAAGTTTGGTTTGTAAAGGGAGATCAAAAAGCTCTTGTAAAGATTCAAAAATAGATTTTCTAAGATGTATTGGAATTTTATCAAAGGAAGCTTCAAAACAACCATATTCCACTAGTGCTTTGTGGACTTGGCTTTTCACTTGGTTCCATACAAGTGTGTCTGGCTTTAGGTCTTCATGAGAGAAGTCTATAATTGGAAGCTTGGTATTTTCAGAACCCATATTTTCTTTAATTTTCTACTCTCAAGAGTCTTGGTTTATTGTGCTTAATTCCATTTTGCAACCTATTTATTTATAAAGAAATTGGAATTGTAATTTGGTTAAAGAGGGGAATATTTTATGTTATTCCCCATTTGACAACAAAATAACAATTTACTATTAATTATTTCAACGTATATTAGTAGGCCTTCCTAATTTCTTAACATAGTTGTTAAACGACTGAGGGTCTGTTTGAATGAGTTTATAAAAAGTAACTTAAAAGTCAAAAGTTAAAATTCAAAAGTAGATGAAATCCTACTTTTGATTTATTTTTAAACTTTTTTGGCTTAACAATGGGTGCTTAAAATCTTAAAAGTCAAAACACCTAAAAATAAGTTAATCCAAACGGATACTAAGGTTCTTATGTAGGTTGGTAATTAAGGATGTATAGCAACCCATTAATTAGTCTGAAGTAGTGTGTAAACAACGATAACATTAACATATTTGATGTAATTTTATAATTGGGATCTGAAAAAAATGATCATGTATATGCAAACAATATTCTTACATTGTGAAAGTACATATATTGTTTATGATAAATCCTCGATCGAGAAGTAAATCATTTCAAAACATATTTAAACATAAAATACAATATTAATTGAAGAAGTCACTTTTAAAGATAATAGAGAGAAAATTTTAAAAACAGTTTTTAAACAAGATCTTCCTAATTGATTCATTACTCTGATCTTAAATGCCTCAACTAATAATAGTGGGACAAAAATATTCTAATTATATCGCTAAAAAGAAAGAATCCCATAAAATAATTATTGAAATGCCTTTGAGTTGGAACTCGGAATCATTATAATTCATATGTACAAAAGTTAAGTTCCCCTCGTGACAAGATTTTTTTTTATGTTGTATTGTTTTTTTAACCTTCCCTAAGATTTCTCACCTTTAGTTCCTCCTGATCAGTGACAGAGTCAAAATTTTCAGTAAGAGGTTTAAAATATGAAGAAATAAACACACAAAGTAGCCGAAGGGGATTCAACATCTACTATGTATATTTAAAAAATTATTTTAAGCATGTATAAATAATATAATTTTTCGCCGAAAGGGGTTCGGATGAACCCTAAGGTGGCTCCGCCACTGCTCCTGACCCCAACAATAATCCCTTCTTATTTATTGTGACTCATAAATCGGTTACTGTCTTTGTTTTTCCCTAATTTCTTTTGTTTTACGGTATGTAGTAAAAACAATATCATGAATGGGATATGTTAGAAATCATTATTAATTGTCTTGGTTACGAATTTTATAAATTATTGTTCACGTTACATAAGTTATGATATCCATAATGATTAATATCAAAAATATAAATTAAACGATTTGATGTCCTTGTGGTCCTCCACTGCGATGCAAGTCATTTTGTGCCTGTTTGCTAGTAATCTATAATTAGGAAACTTGTCTCCGCTTCGCGCAGTATAATAATAATTTAAAATAAACTTTTTATAAATTACCTATTCATGTAATATAAGTTGCAATACTTCAAGTTCATATGATTTTTTTTTTGCCGAAACCCTTAGATTCATAAGTTATACTAATAGTTAATCAATAATAAGAACAAAATTAATATTTTAATATAATATGTTAGCAAAATAGAAAATTAATGAATCAGAAATAATTTAACAATCTAAAAGTGATTACTTTTAAATCTATAATACAATATGAATAAAGCTTGAATTTTGTAGGTCATCAACTTTTATTGAAAAATAAAAATAAAACTAAAAGTATAATAATACTATGAATGACCCAGTATCGACTAAAAGCAACATTGATATTAGTTTGCTCAGATCATATAATAAGAAATAATCTATGAATGACCCACTATCAATGCTGTGCTTAGTCGATACTGGGTCATTCATAGCATTATTATACTTTCAGTTTTATTTTTATACTAAAAAACTTGTCCACGCTTTGTGCAGTATAATTGTAATTTAAAATATTTTTTTATAAATTAAGTAGAAATTAAAAGGCAAATTCTATTTTGATTAGAGCCAAAATTTGTGTTTCCTCTTAAATAAAATAATTAAGAAAAGACATAATATCTTCACATTAGTTGACATAAGAGAAAACGATCAATTATTTTTTAAAAAAAAATTGACACAATAATGTTATAACATTTTAAAAAATCAAATTACCAAATTAAGATTTTAATACAATATCATGTTCATTTCCAATTAACTTTAATTCAAACACAATATCATTCATACATGAAGTAATTAACTATTATTTAAAAATCAATCGAAGAACCAAATAGACAATATATAAGAATTTACGAATTTTAATCAATTTCACGTAGATAAGGAAATTGTGAATACATTATTTATTGAAAATTCTACTTCTAATAATTTTAAATTTATAATTTCATTTTTAAAAAAAAACTATAATTGTTAACCTAAAGTAATCTAAGAAGAGAAAAAAAATAGATCTCGTTTTCCATTTCAATAAAAGAATTCACCTAATTAATTATTTTCTTTAAATTAGGCATAATTCATAATTTTTTTTTAATAGAAGTACAAAAAAATACTCAAAAACCTATATACCAATAACTAATATTTTAAAATAAATAATGAAAAGAAAGTAAAAAGAACAAAGAAGGAAAAAAAGAAATTTAAGGAAAAAATTAATAGCATTAATGATGAAATGATTTAAAATTTGGAAAAATGCAAAATAGATAAACTTTCAAGACAAATTTTTGAGCAATTATTTTTTTTAAAAAAAATTATAAGGAAAAACGTAATTTTTTTTATAAAGTTAAATAAATATTTGAACTAAGAAGAGTGTCATCATTTTCTATTTTTAACTTTATTAGTATTTAATATGGGTATAATCGTATAGATCTTTAGCAGAAGAGATTATCTAATTTATTTATTAAATATAAAATCGAATTACATTAATAAATATTAATATATTTGTTACAAAGATTATAATAACTAATTCTTGTAATAGATAAATAAAAGAAAGTAATTTTTTTTTTAAAAAAAGAACTGATTTAAGGAAATGATATAAATGACATTAATTGTCATGTCAGATTAAGGTAAGGAAGTATGAAAATTAATATGATTGTTGATGAACAAAATTAAATATGGTTACCTTTGATATTTTTGTCTTTGTCTTTAAAATTAAAAAATGTCAACAAAATTAATATATATATATATATATATATTCATTATTTCTATGAATATAAAGTATAATTAAAGATAAATAAATAAATAAAAACATTAATTAAAGGTGATACATAAGAAAAAGCGAGAAAAAAATTAATAATAAAATTTACAAAAAACGGAATTAGAAGAATAAAAATTTGAAAGAAATAATGTGAGCACTAATTTAGAATCTTTTCAAATCACAATAAAAATTTAAAAAAAGAATGGAAGAATAATATATATATATTCATTATTTCTAAGAATATAAATTATAATTTAAGATAAAAAAAACAAACATTAATTAAACGTGGTAAATAAGGAAAAAAAACGGAAAAAATAAATAATAAAATTTACAAAAAAAAACGAAATTAGAGGAAATCAAAATTGAAAGAAATAATGTGAGCACTAATTTAGGATCCTTTCAAATCACAATAAAAAATAAAACAAACATTAATTAAAGATATATAAGGAAAAATGAACAAAAAAATTAAAAAAAGAACGGAAGAAGAATAAAAATGGAAAGTTAAAAAAATGTGAGAACTAATTTAGGATCCTTTCAAATGATAATTGACAACATATATTTCTCCTTATACTTTTCCTAATTTAATAATTAGACCGATTCTTTCTTTAAATAATTCTTCTTATCACTCATCAGTTTTTCTATAAGTGTTTCAACCAGTATGATTTAATTTTTGTTTCACAATACAAATTTTCTTGTAGAAAACATTATAGTGCAACATCCTGTTAATTTTTTTTTTTATGAAGAGAACTTTGTTACATGACTTTTCTTCTTATATCAATACCTTGAAGAATCATGAGATACTCTGTCGTTTCTTTTCATAAAGAAATCATATTCTATGATCATCAAGAAGTGACAAAGTTAAGGTGTCCATTTTTATTGATTTTAATATTTTTTTTTTGTTTTGTAGGCTAAATATAAATAATTTTGAGAATTTCTTTTTATGTGTATATATATTTGTAATTGTACAATGATTTTGAATTGTAAGATTCTTAACCTATTTTAGATTCTAATAACTTTAAAAATATTCCTAATAATTTTATTTCTGCGTTTTATTGGTTTTGATTTTTAATTTTTTTTTTTTTAATCCTGAAGCTTTAAACACATAATTATATGCTCAGTTATTATTATAAATTTGTTTACTTTTTTTTTTTAAAAAAGAAAAGAATATGGTGCAATTTGTAGTTAGTCGATCATATAGAATGCATACTAAATAGGATATTAGATTAACTCTTGCATAAAATTAATTCCAATTTTCATATATCTCACGCTTATCGTCAATGATTTGACTATTATTTTACGCTAAAGCCGACGAAATATTGTCCATTCTGAGATCTCTTCTCTTCATCTCTAAATTTCCTTCCGAGGAGCTTTGTTGTTTTTGTTTTTGTTTTTCCATTGCTTGTTATCCTTCTTCCCTTCATGACTTTTTTAAAAATTTATTTGGTACGTTGTTGAATTTTTTTTCTCTTTGATGCGTGCATGTTCAATGAATTTGTTTGATATTCTTGAAAAGTTAAAAAGTACAGAAAGGAAGAAAAACAATTAAAACAAAGAAGATGTTTGATACACAATCATAAAAAAGAATAAAATATTTAGAGAGAGGAGCTAATCAAACCATGAATTTTTCTGTTACTCCATCAATAATGAACACATCAATATTAGTTGGTGAGTGACTTTTACCATATTTTTGAAATGATTTGTGATTATCTACTCTATTTTAAATATTAGAGAAAACTCTTGATATTCTGTCATATAGGTTATCAACAATTATTTATTTCTCTTTTAATTTCTAATATTTA